CATGCCAATCTAAAGTAATCTGCCCACTTGTGACTTCTAGTTCAGCTTCTTGGAGGTCATTCTCCTCAACTTCCTGAGTGCTGCAACCTTAACCGTCTGCGTGTTCTGCCTTTGTTTGCAATACCGATTCCTCCTTCCCGTCTGTTTTTCCTGACTTGCCTTAAGTGTCACCTCTTCTTAGCAGTCTTTCTCGCTCTCATCTGGAGCCCTCCACTCATAACTTTATGCATTCAACACACAGCTTCTTTAGTAACACCTTCGTATTCCACGTTACTGTTGAGACAACTTGTGCCACATTGTTTTGCTTGTTTTTATGTTTTGAGACAAGATTTCACTGTGTAGTCTAGGCTAGCCTCAAACTGAAGATCTTCCTGCCTCAGCCTCTGGAGTTCTAGAAGAGGAGGTGTGTATCTCCATGACTAACTGTTTTTGGATTCTGCGCACATTCTATACCATGGTATTGCTGTATGGACTGTGATTAAAAGCTGAGGTGCTTTTAATCAGCTCAGCTGAGAGCAGAGCTGCTGGGTGAAGAGAAGTCTAGGTCCTGAATCTCCACCCACTTGGTCTTCCCCTTTCTACTGGCAGTGGTCCTTGAGGGGTTGCTATGGATTCCTCATTAGAATATATGAGGAATCTGTGGCCTTTCAAGGTTAGATGACCTACCAAAACCACACAACGAAGTCCCTATTATGACCATGTAACCTGGTTCTCTTCACTTCCGTGGAGTATTATTTCCAGTGAGCGCATCACGCTGTTTCTTAGAGCAAAGTGGGGAGGGATAGGGCTCTACACTGCCTTCTACGGAACAGAGCAGAGTCATTCGGTCATTCACCCATGTGTTCACTGGTCAAACCGTGAGCAGCGCCTGTGTTTTCAGCACTTTGCTGAACACTGGGGCTATGTGGCAATACAGATGTGCTCTGCTTATAATCTATGGAAGAGGCAGAAGGCAAATTATTCCCAGCCATAGACAAGTGTCTATAGGCTGAGATAAGTCTTCTGAAAGATGAGAGCAGGCAGAAGGTAGAATGCTTTTCAGGACCCTGCTGCTCTGGTTGAAATCTGGCTTGCGAGAGATGCTGTGTTCTGGATAGATCTTGGATCAAAGGGAGCAGTGAGGTGGAAGAAGAACCATTTTCTCCTGCCAAGAATCTAAGCAGCAAGCCCGAGAAGGAGGGGAGAGGTCACCAGGTCCCACTACCCCACATTCTGGGTCTTGGCTGAACAAAGCAGGATCTAAAAAAGACAAGTACATGGCCTAAAACCATTACACACATTTGGGAACGTATTGATAAAAAAGTGATTTTTAAGCTCCAAATTAGGAATTTCATGAATTCTAAAGTGCCTGTAATTAATTATTCTGTGTGCAGGGCTCTCCGGCGAATATGTCAGACCTAGACACAAGTAAGGGTGTTTGTGGTGTTATCAATGGCAAGAGGAAAGGAAAGGAAACAGGGACGGGGCAAAGCTAGAATGGAGGGCTGGAGAAGGACGCTGACATGGCAGAGGAGGACTCAGTTAATTAAATGTTTGTCAAGGGTCAAGCACTGGGTTAGGCCTTGCCTCTACGAAGAGGGTAAAAAGTGGCTGACATCCAGGACCCCCATTTGAGCGGAACATATAGTGACAGCATTTGGCTGGGGAGTGGGAAAACCCTGACCAGATAGTCCACCTTTGGCTGCCTTTCTGCCATGCCAAGTTCAAGTGGACCTGTTTTCCTTCCTTCTGATCTGCCAGCCTGACCTTACAGTGGAAGATGAAGTCTACTATAGTCATGTATGGAATCTAACTTTTTGTGGTAATTGATGAGCAACTGTCTGGTACCAAGATGTACAATAGGAATACTAAGACATGATCCTTGTCTTTGAGAAACTTCCTGCTTCCTGAGAGGAAACAACAATAACAAAATACCCTGGCATTACCTGTTGGTGTATTTGAGACTTTTATCCTTAGTGCAAGAAGATATCTGACAGAAACAACTTCAAGGAGAAAAGATTTATTTTGGCTCACAGTGTATCACATGGGGAAGACATAGTGTTTGGAGTGGCTCTACCTGTGGTGGCAGGTGCCTGTGGCACACAGCTTGTTAACACTCTAGAGGATAGGAGAGTAGAGAACAGAATTAGAAATAGGTCTAGGCTATAAGCCACCAAAGGAGTCCAACCCCAGAAGCTGCATCCACTAACATCCACAAGACACCATGTCTCAAAGGTTCTACAACCCCTCAAAATAGTGCCACCAGCTGGGGACCAAGCGTTCGAAACACGAGTCTGTGGGGGACTGATTACAATCAAACTATAATAGTTGTGAAGGGGTTGAAAGCATGAAATAGTGAGTGCTATATGTGGCCAAGCCTGAAAAAGGCTCAGTGTGCTGGGACTTTGAAACAATATTGGAACTAGTCTAGAACCAGGACTTTTGAGTTATCTAGAGTCCCAAATTATGCTATGAGCCGAGAAAGTGCTTTTCAATAATCTCTTTAAAACTGTTATTTCACCTGGTCCTGGGACAATTTAGTTAAACTCTTAGTTCCTTTGCTTTGATTGGAGTTAAATCATGGAAGTAAGGTGTCCAGTGCTGGTCAGAATCTTTGATTGGCTGTAGATGACATCTTAGAAGTGATTAGCAGAAGCATTGTAGTCATGGAGCCCAAAGTGAGTGCATCCCCCATTGTGAGACACACACACACACACACACACACACACACACACACACACAATGAAAAAGTGAGGAAATGTATTTAGTATTACCCAATAAGTACAGTTTGTTTGTTACACACAATCTTTCAAAAGGCAAGGTCCAAAGGGAAAAATTATGAAAGGGCCCTGGAGAGTGACCGTGTGGGAACTGTTGCTGTCCAGGGGAGTGATGGAAGATTTGATTCCTAACATCTCCATCAAGCAGCTGGTCCCTATTTGTCCTGTTCTGGGGACAGAGAACTCAACTGTCCTTGATGCAGCATGCATGCTTCACCTGGGTTCCAGGCCCTTTATGGCTCTACCCTCTCCATTCCTTACTCCTCTATTTAGTTTACATGTGGCCCAATTTAATCCCCAGCTCTGTTGATAAATGATTATGTGCTTGGGTAACTTAGGTCTACTCTTGAATCTCCAAATCTTTATGCCATGATGAAGGGATCAGACCATGGTGTGAGCTGGTGGAACATTCCTCACCAATATCCGGTCCTCTTGCCTTTGTGGCAAAAGAATGAACTACAGTTTTCAGCCTCCTTTTTACCCAGGGAGTATCATGAGCTTTTCCCGGGGGAACTTGGGTGAATGTGTTCAGTCTGTAACACTTCTGGGCCTGCCTCTTCGAACTCTGTAAAATACTCTACAGTAGGGCTTTCAAGCAGTCCCCCTTTCAGGGCTGGGTGGTTCCAGGCTGACTTTGAAGCCACACGTCAGAGACCCAGTAGGATTCATCCTTGTATCACAGAGTTCTCCATCTGGAACACCATCCTTGGATTTTGTGAGTTGGAAAATAAAACTTGAGTTATGATACTGAGATTTGGGACTTGTCAGTAATGATTATTCTGAGGGCCCCAAATAACAGTCATTCCTCCTCAGTTCAGGACTAACAGCAGTGAAGATTTTAAATTTTATTTATTATTTTTATTTTACATGTATGTGTGTATTGCCTACATGTAGGTAAGTGCACCCGTGTCGTGCAATGCCCTTGGAGGTCAGAAGAGGCTGTTGGATCTCCTGGAACTGGAGTTATGGACAGTTCTTAGCTGCCATGTGGATGCTGGGATTCGAACCTGGGTCTTCTACAAAAGCAACCAGTGTTCTTAACCACTGAGCCATCTCTCCAGCCCAGCAGTGAAGATTTTAAAAGGCAGAATTTTCTGGAGTTTGGTTGGTGAAGGTGGCAGAGGTGTGTAGTTATACTGTGGACTTCATAATGCTGCTCCCCCAGAGTTCAACAAGCTTGTCTACCTCATCAATGGCACCATTAGCAATCTCCAGAGTTCTTCCTCATAGACCTGATCCCACAGACATAGCCTAAGGCTATTCCTAAAGAGAGCCTGCAGAAGAGCTTGTCAGTTTCTTCTGAACTCATTGATCAGGTAAATAAGTGGCTCTACCTCCCATGAGGAGGATCCCTTGTGGGAAAATGAAGCAGGAATTGTTACCCTTAATAAGTTCCTTCCTTGTGAAAACACAAGGCTAGGAAATTAAGGTTCTCACCCAGGGCTCCTCTCAGACATGAAAGTTTTGGTGAGTCCCTGTGAGTCTACACTGCATGAGGACAGAAGTCACATCTCAGCCTTCTCGTGACTCTTCCATAGGACAGAGAAGAATATAACTCTATCCAGAGGTGGTGCAGAGTCAATGTGTGGGGACTGACTGGTGACATACCATGAGCATATTTGACATTTCCCCCACAGGGTGACTTCAGAAGGAGAGGTTGCTGTGGCTTGACCCCTCACACCACTAGTCCTTGCCTAACCCCATGATTTGGTAGTGTGAAAGGCCATGCTGATGACCCAATCCATCCTTGGGGAGATGCTAGCACTCTCCTTCTGCCCACCAAGCCCCATGCTGGGAAAGACCCTTGACCTTGCTGAGCTCCTGGCCAGCCCATTGCCCTGGGGGGTCACTGAATACTTCGAATCCCATGGTTGGTTGTGTGTTTCAGAACTGAGTCTTTCTCATAGTGTCCATCAAGAAGTACCTGTGGCAGGTTGTGCTTAAATAAAGATGAGGGGTGATTGTCTCTGATGAGAGGTGCCTGGCTATTACCTGGGTAAGGAGAGGTGTGAATACACCATCTTTTAAACGTGTATACAGACTGGACTGGTAATTCTCAGGATTTTGGATTATGGTGACATTTAAAATTAAACCTAGCACCATTCATTGGTGAATAGATAGATGAAAGTCAGTGTATCAATCACTTCCCTGTTGCTGTGATAAAGCATCATGACCAAGGCACCTTATAGAAGGAAAAGTTTATTTGAACTTATGGTTCCAGGGGCAAGAGTCCATAACGGTGGGAGAGGCATGGAGCAAAGGTGGCTCGAGCAGAAATCCGAGTAATCACATCTTCAACCAGGTACAGGAAGCAGAGTGCAACTGGAAATTTGGCAAGGCTTAAGAACTCTCAAAGTCTGTCCCAGTAATGTGCTTTCCTCCAGCAAGGCCACACCTCCTAAAACCTCCCCAAACAGCTCCACCAACTGGGGACAAAATGTCCAAGTACTTGGAGCCCATGGGGAGGGGGGCACATTCTCATTCAAACTACCACAGTTGGTATGTCTATATAATGAAATATCATTCAGCCTTTAAATGGGAGAAAATTTGGACACAAGCTACAACGTGGATGAGCCATGTTGTAGCTAAGTGAAATAAGCCAGGTATGAAAGAACTAATGCTATCTGACTCCTCCATAGGAGTTTACAGAGACAGGCAGACCATTGGTTGCCTCAGGCTGGGGAGGAGGATATGGAGCTGTTTTTTTTTTTGTTTCAACTTATTAATTAAAAAAAAACTTTATGATTGCTTTGCCTGCATGGATGTAAGTGCACCATGTGCATGCAGTGCCCATGGAGGCCAGAAGAGGGCATCAGATCCCCTGGAACTGGAGTTAGGGATGATTGTTAGCCACCATGTGGGTGCTGGGAACTAAACTCCAGTCCTCTGCAAGAGCAACCAATGCTCTTAACCCCCAGTCATCTCTCCAGTCCCACAGCTGTTGTTTAGAGCTAGAGTTTCAGTTTGGAATGAGGAAAAAGTTCTGGATATGAGCAGCAACCATGCTTTCACAACAAAGTGGGTGCAGTTAAAAACTACTGAACTGTCCATTCCAAAATGGTGGAAGGTAAATAAATAATAAACAAACAAACAAACAATAAATAAACCAAGGAAATAATACCATAGTGGTACCAACATTTAGTTCTGTCTATGGGAGTTACTAAAAGGCACTAGAGTCTTCTTTAAAGTATTATGACATCCAAAGAAATGACATTTCTAACCTCACAGAAGTGAGGCAGGTGGGCTCTCCAGGTAGGTGATGGCGCTTGGGAAGGAAGAATTTTAGCCTCATAGAAAAGCTGACTCACTAGAATCAATACTCTTGTTTGTATTTAATACTTAATTTGTGTGATCAGCTTCTGCAAGGCCCAGGAATGGTTTGTGATCCCTTGTTGGCAGAGAACAGGAGGCAGGGGGACTTAGGTCAAGCCTCTTCTGCCTCATTAGTTCAGGGGTGTGTCTCAGTGCCAGAAAGAGGGCTTCAACCAGGGTGACCACCAATACCTGCTGCTCACGGTGAGAACTAGAAGTGTCCCTCCTGTCATCTTCTAGACACTGCTGTCAGATGCTGCTGTGGTAGTCCTGGCTGGTTCCTTGTGCATCAAAGGCAGCCGGGCAGGGCCCGCTGTCCTTGAAGTAGCTGCTGGGTAGAACCATCAGGATGCTGTATTTGTAAAGCTCCTTCCCAGGACTTGGCATGGGTAGATGCTTGATAGAGGACAGTTATTTTTATCCGGGCTGTCTAGAAAACAAAACAAAACAAAACAAAACAAAACAAAAATGCAAGCTTCTGAGTCCTCCAAGTTTGGATCGAATCTCTGTTTACTAGGATTTTGACCTTCTGTGATTTCCTTCAGTTCCCATAGCCTCAGTTTCTAGTTCGTAAAGGAGGGTCAACAAAATCTCTTTCGTGGGGTTTTGTACCATTGCAAAGAAAAAGAAGCTTTCTACCCTCTTTCCTCCCTCCCTCTCCTTCTCCCTTTCTGTCTCCTTCCCTCTTTTCTCCCTCCCAATCTCCCTTCCTCTATCCCTCCTTCTTTCTCTCTCTTCCTTCTTTCCTGCCTTCTAGAGGGATAGTGTCGTGTGTGGCAGCTTCCTAACCTCAGCCCCAGAGGTGCCTCCCTAGCTCATCCAGGAGTACCTTCCTTAACTGGCAGGGTGAGACTGTTCTGTGGAGCGGTCCACTTTCCTGCTCCTAAAGGCTCATTTGAGCCCTCTGGACTCTAGGATCATGGATGTTCCTGTGAAGAAGTCACGGAGAACAGGAGCCTCCATTCCCCATGGCTGGCAGCTTCCCTGTGGGAGCATCTGTTTACAATGGGAAAGGTCCATGAACTGGTCCCTGGCACCTTCTATGAGGGAAAGAGTTCTCTTCATTTTTTTTTTTTTTAATTTTCTCTGTAACTTTTGGGGAGTTTCACATGTGATCATTAGTTTTGGAACCTAGCTGGTCTGTCTTTAGTTTTCTTTCTTGAGTTGAGTGATTGTGGCTTGAGCATAAGGGTCCTCGTTCTCTTCTTGGATCTGAGCTGGCATGTACTGTTGGGGCTCTAAGAGACTCCTGGGGTCTCTGTAAATGTTTCTTGGTTGGTTCATGAAGAGAAAGATCTCTAAGTTCATGAGTTGAGAGGATACTGAATTAACCAGTAAATGACTCCTGTAGGGAGATGCTTTGGACTGGCCTTTGGCAGGGGTAGGAAGGGTGGGAAGATGCCTAGCTAGAATCCCATCTACTCTGTGTTTCTGGCCAGTCTTAGTCTGCCTAGTACCCAGGAAACATCCCACTAATGCTGTCTCTACAGGGTCACTCTTCAAGATCAGGCTCCTCTAAATCCTTCTGGGATTGTTCAGACTAGACTAGTTGCTCCTGCCTCTGTGCTCCTGGAAGGAGCCTGTATACATTGTGACATCTGTCATATTGTATTGTAATTATCTAAGGGTTCCAGACAAAGGCCTAGAGGGCAGAGGCTGTTCCTCACACTTCTTCCCCAAGCTTCTGCATTATAGAGACTTTGCACATGGGGTGAATAAGAAGCATCACTGAGCTTGCCTGGTGCTGGCAGGGATTAGGGAGGTCCCAAGGAATGAGGGGCTGGCTGAGCATCAGGGGCCACTGGATGTCAGGCTCCAGAGCTCCAGTCTGCTTGGCAAGAACTCCATTCCCCATTTCCCAGAGATTGTTCTCGTAATACACTGGCAGTGTGCCCAATCCAGGCTCTGACTAGTTCCTAAAACAAGTTAAATCTTTCCCTTTGGGACAATTCCATCAGCAGGGGTAGATGAGCATGCTTCTCTGATGACCTTGGCGTTCATAGCCAGGCTTGGGCTCTTTCCCACTTGGTTCCTCAAGGCCTCAGCAGCAGCCCTGTTATGCTTGGCTGCACTTCTGGCTGGTGAGATGAACACTGTCTTCCCAGATCTTGGGGTGGACGAGAGCTGCATCCACACCCCCACCCACAGCTGTCTGTGCTTGGCTGTGATGGAAACTGGGCTCTTCATCCAACAGATCTCAGTGGAGATTGGAAAGTGCTCGTCGGAGGAGGGAGTTGTGTCATTGTCAGGATGTGGATGAAAGCCAGGCTGCAAATGAGAACTATGATCTTCCCATCACCCTTGCTTTTTCCTCCAACGGAAGGACAATGACAGCTGCAGAGCCTGGACACTATCTTTCTTGGAGCGACTGAGTGCTGCCAGACGAACACCACTGAGGTGGAGGCTAAGATGGTTAGATCATAGGATGTAGACTATAGGTGAAAGCTCACCATGTCTCAGGCAGTGTCTGGCTGCAACATACAAGGTTTTTAACCTTTCAAGCCCTACTTAACACACCTGACGGGTGAAGATGCTTTCTGACACAGGCATTTCAGAAGTCCCCACCCTTCCTGTGATCCAAGGAGAGCCTGAGGGGTAATGAAAGAGACAAATAACTTTTCACTCACTTTTTTTTTCTTTAAAGTTCTTTATTTTTGTTATCGTTTCAGTGGTTTTGGGTGTAGGGCTGATGGGGTAATTATATGAGGGAGCCAAGTAATCTTTTCTTGTTGGGTGTTTTGATGAGAGGCTGGGCAAGGATCTCCCCAAGGAAAGTGTGTCTGGAGGGGGCACACAGACCATTTAGTTCTGTCACTGAAAACAGAAGTACAAATTTCCTTAAGAAGCAGAGTGGAGGGGTGTGGAAAGAGCACTGGGTCAGGACTCAGTCCAACTTCATCCCTGGCTCTGTGAACTTAAACTCATCATGTCATTTCACTTTGTTTTATTTCTAAACTTCACCCAACAAAGGCTCATATAACCTTCTGGTTGTGAGCCTGAGTTTCTAATGGCTATGTCGGCGCTAAGCCCCAAAAGCTTATATAACTTTAAACTAGATATTGTAAACTATTCTATGTGCTTTACAAATATCAACCCACTTAACTTTAAAAAAATAATCATGATGTGGTATTATTGGCAACCTAATCTTATAAATAAGAAAAATGAAAGACAAAAGTGCTAAGGAATTTGCCCAAGATCACATAACTGGTAACTGATAGTCTAAGACTGAGTCTTCTTAGTTTCAAAATCTTCATCTGTAAAATGAGGATTAAACTTGCTGTTCTGCAGGCATTGGAGATTTGTGAACACAGAAAAATCCTGTGTGGGGACACAGAAAAGGTGGCCATTTGCAAGCCAAGCAGAGAGGGTTCAGAAGAAACCAAACCTGCTAATACTTTCCTTTCAAACTTTGAGATGAGCTAAGGAGAATTGTGAGAGAATAAATTAATATTCTTTATGGAAAAGTAAAGTGCTCACCTTGTAGACACGAGGCCCTGAGTTCAGTTTCCAGAATCCCATGTTAAAAAAGCCGGGTGTAATGGGGTGTAGGGGTAAAGACCAGATCCCTACGGTTTACTGGCCAACCTATTCTTGGTGAACTCTAGGTCAATGAGAGAGAGAGAAAAAGGAGAGGAGCAGAGGCAAAGGCACCTGCCACCAAGCCTGAAGACCCGAGTTCAGACCTTGGAATCCACGTGGTGGAAGGAGAGAACTGATTCCCACAAGTCATCTTTTGACCTCCATACCTGTGCCATGGCACGTGTGCAGTCACATCTATACACACATAATAAATAAATAAAATGTACTTTAAAAATGTAATAAAACAGAAAGGTAGATGTGCCTAAGGAATAACACCCAAGGTTGTTCTCTGGGCAACTCAGGCATACATGTGGACTTGCACATACACATACACACGCACATGCACTTGCTCACACGTGAATACACACGTATACATACATATAAAGAAAGAAAAGACAGAACTAAAGAAGGAAGGTAGAGAAAGCTTGTTGCTTTGACATCAGCGCTTGGTTTCCTTGCATTCTTTTTAATCTTGGCTTGGACCACTGACATGATTGGCATGGAAGACCCTTAATACAAAGCTGGAAGAGGGCTTGGATCTTTAGTTTTCTTCCTTCATGACTAGCAGAGTCCCTGACACAGAGAAGGTAGTCAGGAGATATTGAGTGAACACATGAGTTGATCCCATCACCCTGTGTTAGGACTTGACCCACCTTGCTCTTCCCCAAACATGGCTTCCTATAGGTATCAATTGTCTTTTTAATTTAATTTTATTTATTTATTTTTTTGTCTTTTTGAGGCAGGGTCTCCCTGTAGCCCCAGCTGTCCTGGAACTCACTATGTAGACCAGACTGGCCTTGAACTCACAGAGATCTGCCTGCCTCTTCCTCCCAAGTGCTGGGACTAAAGGCGTGTGCCACCACACCTGGCCTCAACTGTCTTAAAAAAAAAAAATCAATTCATTTTTATTTTATGTGTATTGCCTGTACATATGTAAGTGCACCTGTACATGCAATGCCCATGGAGGCCAGAAGAGAGCATAAGATTCCTCTGAAACTGGAGTTAGGGATGGTTGGGAGCTGCCATGTGGGTGCTGGGAACTGAATCCTGATCCTCTGCAAGAGCAGCCAGTGCTCTTAACTGTTGAGCCATGTCAGCCCCTCAACGGAGCCTTTTAAACCACAGGATCCCTGGGCTGCAGTATATTCCTGGCACAGAAAGGTGCACAGGCTGAATGAATGAAATTGCATTATTGCCCTTTGCTTTAGGCCAGAAGTCACCTATTATCATGAAGGTGTGAGCATGCTCAAATGCCATAGTCCGTTGGACATTGACACCAGTTAGTGATGGAGAAATCTTCTGAGGTGAGAAAAGATAAGGTGGCAGAAGTGAAGTTTTTTCAATTACTGTATAACAAATGACTCTAAAGTGTAGCAGCTTAAAACAATTGTAGTAGCTTAAAATAGTAGTAGAAAAATAGTAGTAGTAAATCAGTTGTAGCAGCTTAACGGTCCTAACTGTTTTCTGCTGTATGTGATGTAGCTATGATTAGTCGGTTAGCTGCCCTCAGCTGAAGGCTGCCTGGGGTTGGAATACCCAGGACGGATGCTAATCCTCAGGCTCTGCTTCCCCAGACGCTCTCCTGTCTTTGTCGTGTAGTCCAAGGTTTTTCTCAGTCTGACAGCTGAATTCTAAGACAGGAAGAGAAAGCTTCCCAAACTCTTAGAACTCGTTCAGAAGTTCCAGAATTCACGTCTGCCAGCTATATGGCCGAAGTAAATTATAAGATTCAAAAGGAGAGACAGACTCCACGTCATGTGGTGAGGAACAGATGTATACATACAAGATGGTTGAGCCTGTTGGTGGCTGTACCTGAGACTCTACCAGAGGTGGGAGAGGAGAGGCATCAGGAACCTCTCCTGGTCCTCGTGCAAATGAGGACAGCTGCTGAGGGCTGGGCTGTGATTTGCCTGCCAGAGCCATTGGTTTACTTCCCAGCTGGTGGATACCACAGGGTGCTAAAACTCTAGCTGTGGTTCTGTCTAGGTGGATCTGAGCAGGGCTTTGTTCAGGCTTTATCTTCTCATCCTCCAGGTGATATCACAAAAGCAGCGGAGAGGGGTGGGGTGACCTGTGCATAGGGTGGCACAAGTCAGTGGCAGAACCAGAGCTGCTGTTGCCCCATGATGAAGGACTATAACTATTGGGCAAAAATGCAAATTTTTTTCCATCCAAACTATTAGGTGATTCATATAATCTTGCTGGCCCTCATCTGTTTGTTTAGTGAATATGGGACAATAATATCTACTTTATACAGAAAAATAGACAGTGATAGGTTGCATAAATTTAGAGCCAGACTACCTAAATGCACACCTTGGTCCTTCCATCTGCCGTCCATATTGCCTTGTGAAAATACTTAATTGCTCTATG